TCAAACACATGCATTTGCGCCATGTTAATCTGTGCAACATAGAGTCCATAAATCTTTTGAATGTCACACAAGTATTACATAATCCGAATGGCATAACGTTGAACTCGTAAATTCCGTCAGTCGTAACGAATGCCGTCTTTTCTTTGTCAGCTGCGTGCACCGAAATTTGCCAGTAACCTGACCTCAGGTCAACAGATGAAAAGTAAAGACGCGAAATGCAGGCAGTCTAGAGCGTCATCGATGCGCGGGAGTGGATAGACGTCTTTCTAGGTAACAGAATTCAACCGGCGGTAGTCAAGGCAAAATCTCCACGTACCATCCTTCTTCCTCACTAGCATGACGGGAGTAGCCCACGGACTTGCCAATTCCTATATTATTCCCTTTTTTAGCATTTCTCGGACTTGCTCATCGATGATCTTGCGCTCCGATGGTGCCACTCGGTAAGGTTGCTGCCTAATGGTATGCGCCGACTCGGTGTGGATGTGATGACGTATCCGGGACGCTGGAATTAAGGGCCTTTGGCTGTTTTTAGAAAAATAGAACACTTTCTAGTGCTTAGACAGAATGTCGAGCAGTGTATGACGTTCGCTTTGGTCAATTGACTTGCTCACCATTTCTAGAAATGAGCCATCCTCTAAACATTGTGAGCCTAGAAAATCATTTTGGCTTGTAGCATCAACAAGCGCAACCAGCGTCGTAGATGATTCGTGTCTAAATACTGCAAGTTTCATGCCACCTGGCAAATCTGCAGGCTCCATTGAACTGCTCATTTTCCACACACCTACCCGTCCATCTACGACTGACACTGTACAATGGGTAATGAAGATGTTCTTTTTCAGGCATGCAAAGGGAATCGGTTCGAGCATGACGTCAAACGTGCCGCAGTTGTTACTGGAACATGGCATGGGAACACACGCAGCAGAAAATGCAGGAACGACTTTGTCCACGGAAACGAAAAAGATGCATTGATCCGGACAGGAATTTTCCAAGAGCACCGTCGGCAAAGTACCGTGTATGAAAAGGTGCCCACTTCTGCAGTCTACAGTTGCCCCCCACTCGCACAAGTTGATACCCAAGATAACGTCATCTGGAGACCGCGGAATAACCGCAAACTCTGTGCAAAACACCTTGCCATAAAGCAAGATGTCCACAGTACAATATCCCACCGGACACAACGCGTCACCACCTACACCACGAAATGTCACCCCACGGTTCACGCAAAATATCACTTTAGGTCCTAGCAGGTTCTTAAAATTTACATTCATCACTGTGACTGTCATGCCTGTATCCACAGGTGCCATAGTGGCCATTCAATTGACAACTACATAAACTTTGTAGTTCAACATAAACGCTGACTGGGGTATATCTGTACATAGCGCCTGTGATCTCGCGGCCTTACCTCCATCGGCCGCACCCACTAGTTTTCCGGCGGCGGTGTCCGTGCGCGTCGCCATGGCGACGGCAATCGTGGAGCACGTGGAGATAGTGTTGACGTCAAACTTCGCTCAGAGGCAGGCGAGGGGTAGCGTGAGCCGGTAGGTGCGCGTGGTTTCCGTGACGTGGAGAGCGGATGGTCGAAAGGTTGGTGAGACATGTACCAAGACTGTTGCTGACACGGGAGGTGGCCACAAAAACGTGCTATGTGACCCGGGACGCCTCAGTTGTAGCACACCGGAATTGGTCGAGGGGCACGTTGCTGCTCAGAGTAACGACTCCTCTCGGAAGGCACGGGATAGTGGTGCCACCTTTCAGGGGCACCGTAGACAGACTATATTGAATAAACAGGCGGACGAAAACTTCATTCAAAATTTGGAGGTGGTTGACGTGGGAATCCAGCCTGCCATGTGCCTTGGTATTCATAAGCGTCTGCAGCGTTGATCGGTGCTTGCCATGGTGGAAGAAAAACAGGAGTTCGCACAGGTTCCGCTTCGCTTGCGGTACGCATCTTGAAAATCACTGGGGTGAAGATAGGTCTGCTGACATCCAAGCAGCGTATTTCCGCCAGATCGTACCTAGGATTGCGGATATCGGTCAAAGCAAGGTCGTTAGGTGACAATGTTTCAACACTAGCCTCAGTGGGGACGTTGGACAGGCGGCCGAATTTTGGAGAAATTCGTCGCATCTTGAGAGATTCAAAGGTACGACAGTGCTTCATCACGTTAAACACGGAGTTCAGGCACTATTTTCTAATTAAGAAATTGTACACGTGTTCGGCTATAGGCTTGAGAACGTGTCCAACCTTGTCTTCTTTAGACATCTTTGCATTCACAATCTTGCACAGCTTAGATTTCTTCATTGTACGTCATGCATGTTTCTCCTGGAAGCTGCGTCCCCTGAGACAATGTCTGCTCCGCGCGTTTTTTCTTTGCTTCAGAATCATCGAAGCACTTCTGCACTTCTTCAACAAAACGTTCCCAAGTCGTGAACATGTCCTCGTGGTTCTCGTACCACATTGTGGTGGTGTCAGTTAACGAGAATACAACATGATTGAGCTGTTCGAGTCCCAGCTATTGCTTCTGCTCACCCACTTGTAGTTCTTCAGCCACACGTCAACGTCTTCTCCTGAGGTCCCGCCGAAGTTTGGTGGCACTTTTTAGTACAGCATGGAACCCATAGGAGTTGACCTCGAAGCGTTGGTTGGCTGCTATTCAGCCATTACGATCGTTGAAGGTGAGATTCCTGTGAGGTGGCGGCTGCGACGAAGTCCTGGTAGCAAAGCTTCCGTCTTTGTGTTCGTCCTACCCAGCAACGTCTACCAAATCGTTACGGAAAATAAGGTAACTTAAGGGGGGGGGGTTTAATGGGCTTTGAGTTCGCGATAACTGTAAAAGCAACGTCGTTTGCCTGCTCCACACGTGCTTCCCTTTTTTTTCCTCGTGGTGACACTTCATATATATATATATATATATATATATATATATATATATATATATATATATATATATATATATATATATGTGTGTGTGTGTGTGTATGTGTGTGTGTGTGTGGAAAGTAAGTGTATTTTCAGGCGACACATTGTTATTCAATTTTAATACAAACAATAATGCCAAGGAGAATATAGGGGAGGACATTAGACCGAATCATAAGGTAAATTGGAAGAAAGAAAAGTGGGTGAAAAGATAACTTGCCACGGCAAGGAATCAAACCTGCCAGCTTCGAATAACGCGTTCGATGCTCTACCACAGAGCTACCACGGCGCTATCTTTCCAGCCACTTTATTAAGTACACATGTGAATTAAAACGTGGGAGTGTGCCCCGCCATGGTGGTCTAGTGGCTAAGGTACTCGGCAGCTGACCCGCAGGTCGCGGGATCAAATCCCGGCTGCGGCGGCTGCATTTTTGTTGTAGGTGGAAATGTTTTATGCCCGTGTGCTCAGATTTGGGTGCACGTTAAAGAACCCCAGGTGGTCGCAATTTCCGGAGCTCTCCACTACGGCGTCTCTCATAATCATATGCTGGTTTTGGGACGTTAAACCCCACATATATATAAACGTGGGAGGGTGACTCAGCGCCATCTGTAGCCATGGCGGCGAGTGTGGCACACTCTTTATGAGCTTGTGTGGCGTCACGTAGTACGTGAACCTATTAGGAGCTAGCAGCTGACCAATAGTTCTCGTATAGAACCTAAGGCATCAAATCTGCCAGTACGAGACCGTCGTTATTGATTAAGGGAAAATAATTGTATACTTAGGGGCTCATGTTTCTGTGTTTTGACAAAATACTAATGAAATCTAACAGATAATAATGCCAAGGAGGGTATAGGGAAGGTTAAGAGACCGAATCATGAGGTAAATGTGAAAAAAGAAAAGTGAGTGAAAAGATAACTTGCACACACACACACACACACCACACACACACACACACACCACACACACACACACACACACACACATATATATATATATATATATATATATATATATATATATATATATATATATATATATATATATATATATATATATATATATATATATATATATATATTGATGTGCTGTTTTTTGTTTTTTCCTTTCATGTACTAGTAATGTATCATCACCAATCATTCACTTATCTCACTTTCATTTAGTCCTATAGTATACAGTATTGCCTGAAACAAAGAATCATAATAATGCACGTATTCACAGTTTGGTTCTTGCCGGCAAATTCGGTCTTATAAGGGCGCATTCGCACTTTGCTTCATCAAGAACGTAAGCGGCGAAACTCTCCGAAAACAAGCTTGTTCCGCCGCCCAAGCAGCCGGAAAACCATTTTTGCGCCGCGTGGCCGATTTTTGCCACGCGGCGCAAAACCGATTTTTGCGCCGCGTGGCCGCAGCGCGAAAATCGTTCTGAAACGGATTTTCGCGCGACGCCAGAGCGGATTGTGTTTCCACTTCACGGATTTGGCTGCGCTACGCTCAACGACGTGATCTAACCAGCTGGTCGCAGATTCAACATGGCGCCAAAGACGTTGGTGGTGGCTCGCACCGGCTTAAATAGCTAACTACCCGTTATGCACGACGATTCTTAATGACCTCAAAGAGAATGCATTCATCGAAAGCGTCGATTGAATTACGATGGCTGAGAACTCTGGAATCAGACGGTGCAGCAGCAGCGAGTCGGCATGCCCCAATGTTCCCACTTTTGTATGCAGCTGGTTGAATCTTCCGCCGCCGCTGCCGGTGCGTTCGCTCGTACGGTGTCTGCTGGTTATCTTCCAAAAATGTTTTAAAAGGTGCGAGTTGTTTTTTTGCAGTACTTTGACCAGAATTCAGGACATCAACAACCGGAATTCGGTACATAGTTTAGTTCTCAAAACGAAGGCGAAATGGAATTACTTCTGAAGGTAGCGACGACCGCAGCGACAAGATGGGGCAGGACGAATGTCGAAACCTTCGACTCGCGCGATCGTGGTTGTTTGGTCAGTCAGGCGCTTCGTTTTCACCTTCACTTCTACAGTGTGAATGTTTCCTAAAGCAATAGTAACACTACGTTGTGTTGTTTACAGTGTCATACCTCTCGTAGTGCGTCCAGATAGATTCCACCGGCTAGCGCATACAGGGTGATGGCCTTGCTGATGTTGCCTTCCATCACTTCGGCACGTACCGCCCGCTGGACCTGTTCCTCGGCCTTCCGCATCAAGGCCTCCAGCTCAGCCATCTTGCTTGCTTGCTTACATCCTTGTTCCTATATGTCTTGGCTCGTACCCACTGTGGGGAATGGGCATATAAACCGTCAAGTTTTGTGATGGGGAATTTTTTAAAACTTTGATCAAGAGAATAATTATTCAGTCATCACCACGCTTACAGTTTTCTTCTTTAAGAGCGTATGCTTGCGTCACTACTACAACGCGCCAACCATAATTGTGATGATCCCAATAAACATTGAATACGGGGATTTGAATGGCAATACAATATTGTGATTTCAAGCGTAGACAACGGTTTCATTAAAATGAATCTCGAAAAATTGTACTTTAGCAACAAGCGTCATATGCGATTGGGAAGGGATGCGAGTGAATTTATTTATTACACATAACAACGACAAAACAAATAAAATTGGCAGATCGCACGCACAGTGGGAATCGATGATGTGCGAAGTGCGAATGAGAAAGGTTCATATGTGACTTTAAAATCAGCACAATATTATAGGGCAGACATGAAATCTCCCGTACAATACTTTCATATCATGACAATCATGTTTGCGTCTTGATTTTGTGTTCGTCGACTATGCACGTCACGTAATTACAAATTTGTCAAATGTGAACCCAGCGAAACAGCCGTGACCACGCTGATGAGCATAGCATGAAATCATATTTCTCATGACACACACATCCTCATCATGTTTGCGCGTGTTATTTACCTTTGTCGTTCATTCACGGCATGTAACACCACATTTGGTATATGTGAAGCTAGCGAAACAATCGGGAATGCGCTAAGCGCGTAGCAAGTAGTCATGTTTTCCATGACACATATCTCATGATTATCATGTTTGCACCAGTCATTTACCTTCGCCATCCATTCACTTTTCGTAATACCGCATTTGGTATGTGAAGCTAGCGAAACGACCGCGAGTGCACCATAATCGTGGTGTGTAGTCATGCTTTACATGACCTGGATGTCATAATTTTCACATCAAGGTTTAGCTTCGCCATTCATTCAAGTTCCGTAATACCGAATTTGGTATATGTGAAGCTAGCGAAAGGACCGCGAGTGCACCACAAGCGCGGTGTGTAGTGAAGGTTTATACGACCTGCATGTCATAATTTTCACGTCAGGATTTGTCACTTATGTTCACCATGCAGTCAAGTTAAGACATATCACTATCGAAACAGCGAGGAGAGCTAAATATCGCAAGCGTTGAGACAGACAGACAGACAGACAGACAGACAGACAGACAGACAGACAGACAGACAGACAGACAGACAGATAGATAGATAGATAGATAGATAGATAGATAGATAGATAGATAGATAGATAGCTAGATAGATAGATAGATAGATAGATAAATAGATAGATAGATAGATAGATAGATAGATAGATAGATAGATAGATAGATAGATAGATAGATAGATAGATAGAGTAAATGTCACCAGAGTTCTCGATGAAATGCTTCGCATATATTATGCTTAAGTATGGGGCCTTTCTATACATCGTTTTGATCAGCCGGTAGTCAGCCGATACCTATACAAAGTATTTCGAGTATTGTGTATAATATATTTTAAAAATAGAGAAAGAACCAATCCCCTTGATATCAGCGCTTTTACACTTATTGTCGCAGAAGCCATCCGAAGAAGCATGCTGACATTATTTATAGCAGTAACTCTTGAAACTAGAACAATTACCTTTTAAACCTGTGCAAATGAGCGGTCGAGTGAAATGCGCGATTTCAAGTCCTTTGTACGAATATTCTATACCCACTTTGAAATTTCTGAAAGGCGGCCACTGGTAATAGCGACGGAGCGATGTAATCTAGCTGACTTATAGCTACCCAGCCAACTGGTAATAGCTGACAAAACCAAAACTGACACAGCACACAGTGCATCCACCATTCACTTCCAAATTACTTTCAGTGACGAGACAACTTCCCCCCTCCGTTGTAAATCGCCAATCTAGATCAATTCGTGGCAAGTGTTTTTTGCCGCATGAGGTACCAGCGCTGGATAGGTGGCGCGCCGAAAAAAAGCACCTGGCGGGGAGTCGCAACACAACTTATCCGTTCGGGCCAGACGATTGGCCTTAGTGTAACACTGTGACACCATGCGCGGGCGCCGCTGCAGTGCTTCGTTTTCGAACGAACAGCTCGAAAAGCCATTGGGCCAGTAATACTGCACAGTAGTTTAGAAGTCACAGCTTTGCTGCAAAAGCTAAGAAATAGGCGCGATTGCAGGAAATCGGATGGTCATGCACAGAATTGCAAGCAGATCGTATACCCCGCGTTTCCCACGCACAACTGACCCACGAAACATACTCACAGGTAGAGATGAATGCGAATAGTTATTTCGGTTGTTACTATGCTGTGTCTGATAAGCGCACAATTTTTGCAAACAAAGACTGTGGAACAATTTCAGTGACCATTGTGGGCCCGGTAACTACAACAGAATCATTTTGGTAAGATCCCAAGGCCAGCCAAGACGTATGATTGTCCCTACCGCGAGAAAAGTGCACGCGTTAGTGTCCACCCTCCTCCTTCTCCACGGAGCAAAGTGCGCGTGGGAATGAGAGCGTGCGCCGCCGCGTCGTGACGGTGTGGCCACGCGTGCTTATTGCGCCATCTTGCTGGCAATGCTCAAAACACGATAGTTTCTTCGAAATGTCCGTCACCCGCGGTAAGTGGTAAATATAACTATCTTGCTGTTTGAACGTAGAAAGAGGCGCCCCTTAGTGGCTCAGATTTCGCCTTGGACCACGGCAGGGAACGACTGCAGGATGCAGGGCTCCGTCGAAGCGGCTAAAGCGGCCCTTGAGGGCCGGGGCAACATGTCAATTGAAAATTATCAAGTGATTCCACCTCATCTGCCAATAGGATCCATTGCCTGGCATACCGTGTTTTTAGGGACGAAGCTCCTCATAGCCCCCGCAGGGGCGCCTGCGCAAGTAGGCGTTTGGTGTGTAGCGACACCACGGACCCGAGCTAACGGGGAAGTTTTGACTCCCTCCCACGCCTAGCCGTGCGTGGCTTTGCCGTGTTCGGAGAAAAGGGGATCCTGGGGGTTGAGTCGACGCTGGGCGATTGGACCTTTAAGGCCCCCCGGCAGAGGCAACTCAACCCTTTGGCCCCGGCTTCACGTAGACGGCACCTTTGGGCTGACCCACCCAGGGAAATCGGCAGTCGCCTTTTCGTATCTCTCTCTCCCTATATCTTCGTCTTTTGTTCTCACTTTACATCTTTCCTGTCTTCTCCTCACTTCAATTTACTTCCAATTTTTCCTGGCGGCAAGGGTTAACCTTGTGTGGCTATCCAAACTAGGGTAAACCATATTGGGTTATAGTAACTGCGTACTGCTGGCGTTGCGCAGACATGCCCACATGCTCTGCCACGTCCCCTCGTTGGACTCCGTGGTGAGTGGTAGGCGCCGTTACCGAAAAATAAACATTTTCTCATGGGATCCCCGACCCCCTCTTTAACTGATCGTGCTTCGAAAAGAGTACGCACCGATGCAACTTTCCTACTTTGGCCCAAAAACAGAGAAACTTTCCCAAAATACCATGTCCTCCACTGCGAACAATCATCTACAAAAGCTAGAGAAATCTCGCCCTTCCTTGTGGCCAAGTGCTTAAGAGAGACCATTGGAACCGGTTATAAGGCCACAAAGATGGCAAGTGGAGATCTGCTTCTCGAATTAAAAGACAAGGAACAGTACAATAAACTCTCGCACCTCGTGGCCTTTGGTAACATCCCTGTCTCTGTGAGCGCACACCGTACCATGAATACAGTGAAGGGCGTGGTATCGGACGAAGATTTGACGACACTGAGTGAAGAAGAGCTCTTTGATGGATGGAAGGATCAAGGTGTAATACAAGTCCAGCGCATCAAAATCAGACGTAACAACAATCAAATAGCAACAAAGCACTTGATACTCACCTTCAACTCAACCACTATACCCGAGACTCTTGAAACTGGCTATGTAAAACTCCATGTCCGACCCTTCATTCCAAACCCGAGGCGTTGTTTCAAATGCCAGCAATTTGGTCATGCATCCCAGAGCTGCCGAGGACAGCTGATGTGTGCTAAGTGTGGCACAACCGGCCACAGTGCTGATGAATGTAATCATGACGAGATCCTCTGTGCAAACTGCGAAGGTAGCTACCCCGCATACTCTAAAGCGTGCCAAGCCTGGAAAAGAGAAAAAGAAATAACAACTAGAAAAGTTAAGGAAAATATCACATTCAGGGAAGCAAGACAACGAGTCTCGTTATCATTAGCACTAAAAACACCTTTTGCCGAAGTGGTGCAACGAGGGGCGGCACCACAAAGGCCTTTGGGAGTCGCCCGGACCGCGCCTAGCGTGCCGAGGCCAATGCCACAAGCCCCTGCGGCGGGAGCAGCCAGCACTGCCCTGCCCACATTCAGCCTGTCCACACCAGTGACCTCTACAAGCTCTGGCAGCGGCCAGGGCAATCACGATGCCAAGGGGGCTCCATCAACCCCCAGCTCGGTGGGGACAAAGACTTCGTCGATCAAGGCGAAGTCTAAGCGACGCAGAGATCGCTCTTTAGAGCGGGTGTCCAGTGCCTCGCAAGAGGCTATGGACACCAGTTCAAGCCAAACGGCGCAGGAAGCGCCGAAGGAGCGGCGAGCTTCGCTCGACCGCCCCAAAAAGGACAGAACGCCGATTACAGGGCCTGACAAAGGCCCTGTAAAATGAGTTAATCCCCGTCTTCTTTGCACACAGCACTTTTTCCCTTTTTTTCCACTATGGACAAAATCATACAGTGGAACGTAAGGGGAATACTTAGAAATTTAGATGATGTCCAAGAACTTCTGTGTAAGTTTAACGCGAAAGTGCTATGTGTGCAAAAAACGCACTTAACTCCTGAGCACAAGGACTTCCTACGACAATATATTATTTTCCGAAAAGACCGGGAGGATCCTGTCGTACCATCTGGCGGTGTAGCCATTATAGTCGATCGTAGTATAGCATGCCAGCATTTGAAGCTCCA